CCTCCCTCCCTCCCTCCCTCCCTTCCTTCCTTCCTTCCTTCCTTCCTTCCTTCCTTCCTTCCTCCCTTCCTTCCTTCCTCCCTTCCTTCCTTCCTCCCTTCCTTCCTTCTTCTCTTCTTTCTTTCTTTCTCTTCCAGGACTGGCCTTGAAACATGATATTTTGATCTTTGCCTCCCAGTTAGCTAAGATGGTAGGTTTGAGTTGCCACAGTTGCCCGGTACACATGTCTTACCTTCTTTGTACCCACTTCCTTCTTCCCAAGCACAAGAGGATATTCCAGTATCCTTTTGTCATGTACAGTCTGGGAAGCAGACTTTTCTGTAGTATTTTTGACCGTGTTTAGTGGAGAAAGATTTTAAAGCCAAACTCAGTGCCTACTTAACAACCATTGCGATGAAATGATTGTGTCCAGGCCCTCCGCCAAGAACAAGGCTATGATTTTTCACAACTATATGTACATATGTATTTATATATACTAGAAACTAGTTGTCACCACCCAAGTCATTGACACCCTAGATATTGATGCCCACTAACACTTCAATTTTAACCCAAACTATCAGATTCATTCTAGTTTTGGGACAGTAAAAAAAACAACAACAGAGCACTATGGCCTATAATATACTCACACATTTAATAAATTCCCAGTGTAGAATCCATTTCTGCTGACATCTCCTTCCCTAAGTCTTCTCTGGGTTCTGATACCCCTACAAGGCTGCCATCCTCATTGTAAAGAGTCTGCCACCCAACACTGCGACTCTTCGGGGGTCATCTTTCTCTCTCTTTCCCACAGTCACGTGTGCATGGTCAGTATCAAGAATGGAGGCCTTCATTGCTCACTCAGGGTCTGGTTTTCCATTTTGGTTAACCTCTTCTTCTCGCCATGGGACCCATGGATGCTCTTCACTCTGCTTGAGCTCTGTTAGCTCAACCCAACTGAAAAAGATGCTCTCTTCATCATTGTTGAGCTCTAGTAGGCTGCGCTGGGTTACTGGTACATACCCTTACAGCACTAGTGATGCAGCTCTGATTTTTCTGTCCCTTCCTCAATCTGAACATGTTCATGATCCTGCTTGTGCTGTTTATCTCCTGCTTAGATACCCTTTTCCCCTTCCTCAGTCATCCATACTGTTGTGCTATGATCTACCCAATGAGTATAGGTCTAGAAGAAAAAAGAAGAGAAGGGAATGGGTAAGCAAGAGCAAGCGTTGTCGATGGTTTCTTTCACATTTCTTTATTTATTCTTCCACAGGGAAATGCATGCACAAAAAGATTTTGAAAAGTGAATTTCCCCCTTATTTGTCATAACAGCAAAAAGATCTGGGCTGGGAAAACATTGACGCTAGAATTGAAAAGTAAGATTTGACATGAACTAATTGTCCTTTCAACTGGAGAATTAAATTGTTATTTCTTTCCTCAACAGTTAATATTGTTGTGGTAATAGAGGATGTGAACATTAGACAGTTGAAAGTTAAAAAAATCCCACTAGAACAAATTTTTGACCTTTTGCATCTCCATTGTTTTATTTTATAGGTTGTGGAATTGAATCCTGGTTAGCCCAGGGGACTCTTAGGTTTCCTAGGAGGCTGAGTCAGAAAGAGAAAAAGCATCTTGCAAAACTTATGATCAATATTCTTGGCATATTACCCTTACTGTTAATATTTAAAACCATTTGATCTTTAAAGCAAATTTCCAAGAAAAATACACTTGTATTTTTTAAATTTTTTTTTATGTTTTGGTGGTATTAGAATTTGAATTCAGGGTCTGGAGCATGTCAGGCAAGTGCTCTACTTACTCTAGCCAAACCCTCATAGCTTTTTGCTGTTGTTTGTTTTTCAGAGACCCTTGCATTTTTGCCCAAGCTGGCTTTGCCATGCATCTTCCCATCGGTTTCTCAAGTAGCTGGGATTACAAGCTTGTACCACCACACCCAGCCTGCATTATACCTTATATTTTAAATTGGAAGTCTTTTTCTCTACATTTGTAATACAAAGGCTTATATGGACCTCCAAACTACCAGAACAGTGTTTTTGTTATTGTGGTTTACTGAAATGAAACAGCTAGAAATCAGTCTTGCTTATTTGGTAGTAACTTGTAAACTTCTGAATATGTTCACTTAACTCTCTGCTTACATTATGTTAACTATATTTGAAAAAAAATGCCAAGCAGGTTGATTATTACTTATTTTATTGTTTATTGTTTTATAGGGTTGATCGAATGACAACACACACATGCATTGACATGACTGATACATAAATAAATTGTATTAAAAAGTCCACAATATAAAATTTGTATTATTATTATTATCACTGGATGTCTTGGGGACTGAACTCAGGGTCTCAGACTTGCCAGGCAGACACTCTATCACTTGAGCTATACCTCCAGCTCCTTTATGTGCTGTTATTTTACTTTTTGTCCTATCTGGAGCTATGATCCTCCTACTTGGTGCTTCCCTTGAATGGTAGGAGAGTGTCATTGATCTTTCTCAGTAGCTGAGATGATAGGTACATTCTAGTATGCCCAGAAATTGGTTGAGATGGAATCTCTTGAATTTCTTTTTGTTAAGGCTAGGTTAGAACTTTGATCACCCAATGTTTGCCTCCCAGCAAACTAGGATTACAGGCTTAAGCCTTTGCTTAAAATCTGTATTATTGATGACAGCCACGGAGAAATCCAACACATCAGCAGATAATCAACAAGTTTCAGATAACAAGCTACTCACTGGATGGAAGTGAGCCGTTTGAAAGCATTTATTAATTTCCAAAAGTCATCTTGAAATATGGAGGTCCAGAGGAAAAAGTGGCAACAAGTTACACTTAAAAAATCCCATAAAAGCCATGAAGAATTGCACCAGTTGAATGATTTAAAAGCTCAACTGTGACATCAATTTACCTCTGGCCTTTAGGTGACATATTGGCCCTTTTCAGTCACTGTCATTCTGTAGATTAATGTTGGCAAACGTAGAGATTTGGAAACGGAAATGGCCAGATCCTCAAGGTCATTTAGTACATCTCCCTTCAAGGCAGGCGATTTGCTGCCACTACTTGTGATGGAGGTAGCCAATCGCTGTTGGTTCCAATCACTTTCAGTCATGGAGAAATCATTTATATCTGTATTAAGGCAGTGTGGTACTTCTGCAGAAATCTCCCCCTTGATATCTGTGCCCCTAGTCAGGCTGCCTTCTGCCCACTGGAGTTAGCAAGTTGGTAAACTCTGTTCCCTATGACAGGGCTTCAACTATGTCCACTTAGATCTCCACTCTCCTGGAACTCTGTGCTGTCTCTTCTTCTGTAGTTAGTTATGGCCCTAATTTCCCCTGGGGAGGCTTCGATTCTCTTTGCCGTTGTCTGGATTTAGCTTCTCCTTTTAAATTTAGTCTTTCAGGGACCTGTGCACTCTCTCAAGGAAAGGCTGGACTAGCTCTCCGAATTCCCTTTTAGCCATCCAAAAGCGAAGCAGTGTTTCCCTTTACTTTTGGACAGTCCCATCCACCAGACACAACCTTTGTCCCCAAACACCACATTCACTTTACACAAACTTGTTGACCTCACACCTAAATCAACTTTTCTTAAATCCTCATCTGAACAAATAAACATTCCTTGTGATCGGCGGATATCCCGAGAGGCGTCAGGAAGGGCGGCTTGGGCAGCGCTGGCTCGGCTAGCCCGCCATCGGGGCCTCTGATTTGATTTCCTCTTTCTCCTCTGAATTTAAGAAGTGAGACAAAAAAGCAATTCCTGTTAATCTCGGAGACAACGCAGGAGGTTCCATTGCAGGAAGTTGGGTTGCACCCAAGTAACAAACAAGTGGACCACCCACATCAGGACGGAGGCCCCGCGGGCAGGTGGCCTGTAGGTAATCCCCCCGGAGAGTGTCCCGCCGCCGAGGCCGGGGTGGACAGCGATCGCCGCGGCTCTGCGCCCCGGCGTGGACGGGCGCGGGAGCTCAGCCCGGGGGAGTGTGTCACCACGTGCCACAGAGGCGGGGACAAGACCCTACTCTTATCTGTAAAGGGCGCAAGGCCGGATCCCTGAGTTTCCCAGGGGAGCAGAGATAAGGGAGAGAGACTGAGAGATCGAGATAAGAGAGACCGAGAGAGGAAGACAGAAAGGGGAAGAGAGAGAGAGAAAAGAGAGGGAGAAGAAGAGGAAGGGGAAGAGAGAGAGGAGAGAGAAAGAGGAAGAGAGGAGAAGAGGGAAAGAAAAGGGAGAGGGAGGAAGGGGAGGAAGGAGAGAGAAAGGAGGAGGGAGGGAGGGAGAGAAAAGAGAGAGAGAGAGAGAGAGAGAGAGAGAGAGAGAGAGAGGAGGATTCCTTCCTATCCATTTGTCAAGCACAGAGACAAGATCAGGCACTTAGACGCCCAAACTTGGAGACTCCGAAGTTGGGGGGTGCGGTGGGGGTGTCCTCTGTAAGCTCCTGGAATCCTTTTAAGTCTGCTGCGGAAGGAATAAAGCATAAAGACAGGAAGAGGAGGTAGGGTTCTGTCGTCAGTGTGGGGTTCGCTCTTAAAGAGAGGCGCAGGTTGGGGCTCTCTATCCGGAAGGAGCTTGGGTCACCCCGGCTCCCAAACAGCTGGCCCCGGGCCCGGATCGGGAGTTGGAGCTTGTAGCCCACACAGTGATCCTGGGGCTGGCCAGCTGGTGGCCGGTGGCCTTTATCTCTGTCCCTCCTCCCCTCCCCTTTTTTTGTCCCCCTTTTTTTTTTTATCTCAGGCTCTGCAGGAGGCCCAGAGGGGGCCACGCTGCCTATCGCTCGCTCTCTCGGGCAGCACAACGCCTTCCATGTCCTCGGGGTGTCAGGCTGCTGGCGTCTGGAAGGCAGCAGAGGACCGGGGGTGGCCCGGGCCACGCTAACTCGCACGGGCGCACCCGCGGGCACCGACGCCCCCAACACCTGCGCGGGGCGCTGCGGACGCCGGCTGCGTGATCGGTGCGCCCTCGAGGGGCTGCGAGGAGACCAGGATGGCTCCGGGCGGGGCAGTGGCCGGGCTCCTGCTGCTGGCGGCCACCGGCCTCGGAGGGGCGGCCGAGGGGACCGGGCTGGTCTTCAGCGACGACGTGCTGAGCTTGTTCGGTGCCAATCGGAGCCTGTCGGCGCCGCAGCTCGGGCTCCTGCTGGAGCAGCTGGGATCTGCGCCCCACAGGGGCGCCTTGGAGCTGGGCCATCTGCACTTCAACCAGGTACGACCCCGGGCCCTGTGGGGCGCGCGGGCGGTGGGAGCCTTCCACGCCTACGAGCTGGGTTACGGATTGATTTCCACGCGGGACAGGCGCATGGATTTCATGATGCCCTTTTCTCCCCCAGTTCGAGGCTACAGTGGAACTGATTTTCCCTGGCGAGCCAGCGGGGGCTGAAGGACTGGAGTTAAGGGACAGGTGGCAAAGGGCTGCTGTTCGTGTCTCCACCAGCTCAGCAGGCACAGGCTGCTGATTTATTATTATTACTATTATTATTAAGGCTACGAAATAATCGAGGGTGGCAGGCTATCTCCCCACACGAGTTTTCGGCAGGAAGGGTGTATTTAAATCTTCCCAGGAAGATAGCGGCTCACTTAACTCTGTGCAGATTCAGACACCTTCCCTGGGTGGGTGGGCGGCTAAAAACCAGCCCTGGTGGATAGTACGTGAAGGTTAGAGGGGAAGGGCAGATTCTACGGCGGGGGAAACTGAGGACAACCCGATCAGGGTGGTGGTTCAGTTGGGCGGGAGGGAGGATGGGGTTTGAAGTGTTGTTTCTTGATATCTGTCAGGTCAAATTCATTCAATCTGAAAAAATACATGCATATCTATCTATGTATATATGCACATATACTCTACTCAAAGACATTGGACTCTTATTAGAGGACAAGTGTATATATACATATATGTATAGGGACACACATATATATGAAGACACATAAGCAGATATAATATATCTATCTATATCGGCATCTTTTATAATAATATCTTGGCTTTAGGAACAGTATCTATCTATCTATCTATCTATCTATCTATCTATCTATCTATCTATCTATCTATCTATCTATCTATCTATCTATCTATCTCTATCCGAATCTCCTGCAATAATATCTTGGCTTTAGGTACAGCTGAAGACTACCTAAGTGTAACTGAAAAGCATACCTGTTCCATGGCTGGTGATACCTGGATTGTATTCCCCAGTACTACAGGGGTGTCCGGGGTAGGGTGGGTTGGGATGGGATGGGGTAGAAGATGCAGGAAGACTTAAGTTAAATCAGTGCTACCTCCATCCATGTTTGATTGATGACTGAGAGAATGATGTTTTCCATATGCTTTGTTACTTTGGGGAAAGGATGGTTACACGAAGTCTTCGTGGCTCCAGGTGTTTGGGAAATTCTGTCTAACAATATTCTGTTCTTGGAAATAGAGTATTCTCCAATGAATCTGATTTTGGGTTATACTTCGGGACATTTTAATCACCTGTACTCCATCCCAAGAACATTACATGTAGGTTGTTATTTTTCTTAATAATATCTGACCTCAGTTAAAATGTACAGGACTTGAGAAAGAGAACTTCTGATGTTCTGGATATCAGAAGCCAGCTCTCTTTGACCTAGAAGGCTTTATGGATTCCTCTTCCGCAGGCTTTTCTGTGAACTGTGTGTGGCTGCAGTTCTGGCAGGCAGATCATTCGTTATAGTTAGTTGGTTAAATGATAGTTGGGACAACTGAAGTGCTCAGAAATTATATCGACATTTTAGAAAATAAAGCTCATATATTCCTAAATGTTTTGGGGGTTCTTGTGTTGTCTTCTTGCCAAGTAGATGAAAACAACTGTGTGGACTCCAGTATCTTTACATACATCGAGTCAGTCACATGCTTGGAAACAAGCTTAGAGACTTTTAAGTTGCATATCTGTAGCTCCCATGCTGGTTTCACTGAAGTGCTATTCTTATCTTGCAGTGTCTGGAGGTGAACTTTAAAGGGCCAAAGACCCTCCAAGCCATCTTTGCACCTAAAGTATTTAGGAAGATTGGTTATGCTTGTTAGCAGTAACCCTAATGCTACTAAGTATGATTGTATATCAGCAGGTAGGATTAACTTGATAGGTAAATTATATGTTTGCTGACACGTTCCTCATTCTTAACTTTGCATCTGCAACTATTCTCATTATGACCTCTGTGGGCATCAAAAAAGAGATGAAGAAACCCGTAATTATCTTCGAAACAAAGGAAAGCCAAGGAAAGCGTTCCACTTTAATCAGGGCTAACAGCTATTTGAAGTTCTAAGATGTCTTAATGAAAGCAATAATCACTGCATAAATGATGACAAATGAACTGCTAACTGAGAAGAATCCATTGATTTGCTGGTAATTAATGTATTTGAGCCAAGGCATTCTTATCTGCTCTAGCTTAAAACGGTCACCATTGAAATAAAATTTTTATACTTTATACTTGAAAGAACACAAGTTCATCTCTTTACCTGCATGAAAATAAAATTCAGACTGGTGTGAGAAACCTAATTTTCTGACTGTAAAAAATGTTGAGAAAGTAGAAGTTGTTTCTATGAAGCAGAAGTTTCTGAAATTTTCTAGAAGACCTAGCTACTGAAGACATTGTGATATATATTAGGCTAGCTTCTCAGGCAATATACTACTTAACTCTGGAAATCTGTTAGATAATTCTGGAAAAAATTTAAATCTTGTTTTCAATATTCCTAAACACTATTAACTTGTTGCTTTGGGAAAACAGAGAGACTTGGGCTCACGTGAAAGACAGTACAAAAATTCAATTTATTATTTTCTTTCTCATTGCTATTAAAGATTCAAAAAGTTAAGTAGAAGAAGTTACCTAAAGAGCAGAAAGAAAGGAAGCTGAACGGGCCCGTGAATCCTTTATAACTGACCGGTCTAAGGAAGTTTCTAGAAAACAAAAACGAAGCTCCAGTGTCAATGGTTAATCCAGCAGACGGAAGGTTATGCCTTTTGTTTGTTCACCTGCTCCTTTCTCATTCCTTTATTTTTTTTTTCTCCTCAAGTACCTTCTCTTCAGGTTCTTGTACGTGGAGACACTAGTTAAATAGTCTGATGAAAGGAAAGGTCATCATTCTTTGAATGGCAAGCTTCCATTTAAATATTCTGGCTTTCTATCTTTCTATCTTCGTTGGGGCTTCTTTCTACCAACTCTTTTGTGCCCTGCAGTATTATGCAACTCTCTCCTACTTCATTTTTTTTTTCTTTTACCATCCTTTCCTGCGATCACCATGGTACCTACACCCTGCTTTTAACCCCTTTAAATTTATAGTCAGTCTTCTTAAAGCAGTGGAGTATTCTTTCTTTTAAAAGTTCTCCAAAAGTATTGCGCAGTGCTAATCTTGAGCCTGGCATGGGAGGCCCTGCTCTCTCACGCTGACTGCCCTCTCCACACCTGATGCAGCGGCTCTCCTGTGATCTTCTTGCTCAGTCATATCTGACGTCATTATCTTCTGGGACTCATCCTGCCTCTGACTAGATCCTTCTCTTCCTTGGAATATTCATTGTTTATTTATGTTTTCATTTGTTCCACATGGAAAAAAATTAGCATCAATTTTACCATGGACAAAATTTTATCAAGGGCAAAAATTGACAATGTCATTTATAAATATAATGTGCTCCTTCAACTCTGTCTCATCCGCCAAACACACACACACACACACACACACACACACACACACACATTTTATTGTGAAAATACCGTACAGAGGGGTTACAATTACATGGGCAAGATAATGAGTACATTTCTTATCAAATATCGTTGCCTCCTCCTTTGTTTCCCCTTCCCATCCCTTCCCATCTCCC